CTGACCTGGGACATTATCTGTGTACTTAATGTACCTCAATGCAGATATGTCCTAAACAAAGAACCAACTTATAAACATTAAAAAGATTCTATGAAAAATGTTAATTATCAACAGACAGACTTGACCCATGCCAAGGTTTTACATCACAAATAAGCAGCATATGGGGCGCTTGTCCCTTTATTAGCAAGTGAATATGTTAATATGATACAAGTGACATTTAGGGAAATTAATATCCCATTATTCCATAGGGGTCTCATTAAAGACAACCTCTCCTGAGGTTGCTCGATGGCAAAGTTCCTAAATGGATTAGTAGGAAGCATGGAAAAAATGAATGAACTTTGCAGTGACTGCTCTTTATAATGACTGCAGGTAATTAAAAAGACCAGAGGTATCTAGAGAATTCTAGGTCTAATAGTCATGTAACAGTATTTTAAAAACATCTAACGATTGAGTTAATTGAGCTTTAGAATTCATTTAGACAGTCCTTGCATTAACAAGTATCTTTTATGTGATGGAGGAATTAGAAGTTAAATATTGGCTAAATAAGTCTTTTAGGACTTTTTCCATTTGCAGTGTCAGCCATTATTAAATAGTAATGTTTATGTAAATTACAGTGTTGAAACCTTTCCAATACCAGAAAATGTTACCCTGAAAACTCATTAATTTTCAGCCACCATATTCACAAAAAAATACAAGACAAAATAGGTGCTGAAGGCAGTGCTACAAGCTGAGTACAAATCGAGGCACTAAGACAACATAGTCAGGTTCAGGAAGGTGTCACTACTCACTGCCTTCCCCTGTAAGCTCTGTGAAGAGCAAGGGCAGAGCCAACATTCCGGGGAAAGGACTATCTTTCTAAAGAGCAGAGGGGTTTATTTTTATCCTGGCTCTCAGGAGAACTGCATTCTCTATATGTATATATTGAAAGTGCATATCTTAGCTGGACAGATGAGGATCTGATTTTCTTGGGTGGGATTTAGTTTATTTAACTGCTATGTTTCTATATCTTAGTAGTGTAGTGAAACAGCCCTTTCCGAGGAAGTCCCTAAATTCCCTAGGTAGTCAAAAGGAGAAAGATAAATGGCTTTAAAGCCACCAGAAAAGGTCATGTACACCTAACGCCTGTACTCAAACTTCGATGAGTAAGAACTCCCTCTGGAGGTTTTCATGATCGCCTGATACTTTCCACTGACAACAAAGGGAATTTAAGCGTTTCAGAAAGACTTATCTTCAGAGTCCTAAGATATGGCTCCGTTAGATGCATAATTTGGCTGACCAGCATCCAACCATACACTTCAATAAGTAAGTTACTGTGTCTTTGTGAGGATAAAAAGTTGCAAGGCACAGATTCTAACCACAAAGATAAAGGGAGAAATTTGGATAAAACATTTCTTTGGTGTCTGATTTCATGACAACATAAAATGTTCAGCATTTCACATTGAAATAGCCTGCAGAAGGCTGGAATTCCATCTACTTCTTTGAAGTTCCCCAAGCTCTGTACACCTGGATGGAATACTAAAGCAAAAAGACAGTGAAGCCAAGCAGACAGCATGGATATAGCAACTCTGTTGGCAGACATTCCTACCATGTGGAGGAACTAAGAAAGTGTTTGCTTACTCCACCACCTAATGACTCTGAGCAGGTACAGGAAATCATATTCAGAACCATCAAAACAGTAATAATAATAACAGTAATTTGGAATTTCCCATACTTTTCTGCATTCTAAGACAGAAAAGCTTTATTAAATTCACTACAGCCATGCTGTCTTGTAGGCAGTCCAGTAGCAGCAGGAATGACACCGCTCTGGAGGCCTAATCTCACTCAGCAACAGTCAAACCGCATCTCCTTGATGTGCCCTTTCCAGGCCAGAACCTCAGAGTCAACCATACCCACCCAGTGCACTCTCCTGACCTTCAAGCTAACACTCTGACTCCAGGGCAAAGTCAGTACTTATCTGGCTGCAACTGCATTAAAAAAAAAAAAAAAAAAAAAAAAAAAAAAAAAAAAAAAAAAAAAAAAAAAAAAAAAAAAAAAAAAAAAAAGTGGATTTGTAATTACCTTTTTTTTTTTTGTATTCTCACCATCTGAAGACTCTATATATTTTTTCTGCTTTTTTTTCTGCTGTACTGTCATCTCTTTTTCAAACCTTCTCTGAAACGATCTGTCTTCCCATTTTGCTGTTTAATGCTCCATTGGTGTATTTTATCATTGCAAAACATTTTGAGACACATTATGCATGAAAGACGCCATTCTGAGGAATGGCCAGCTCACACTGTGCTATTTGCACAAAAAGCCAGGAGGAAGAAGAGCAATAAAAGAGCAATTTAATTACTTTGGAGCTGCAGCACTTCCCACTACCATGGCCTCTGCATGAGGTCCTGACACAGCTACCAGAGTTGACTGAGAAGCCTGATCTTGCTGACAACTCCTCTGGTGCAGCTTTACCCAATGTCACTGAGCAGCTCATGGCAAATGAACAAGCCACAAAGAGCAGCAGGACATCAGTGATGTAACCCAAGCTAAAACACTTAAAGAAATACCAGTGACCTCCAAGAAGCACAAAAGCCTTTTTGCCCTGTTCTCCTTTGCCGAAAAAACCATACCCTATTCTAACAGTGCTGTTCACCTCCCCTTGAGAGCTGCTTTATTCAGGAAAAGAGTGAAAAATCAGAGAACAGCTGCAAAAATGAATTCCCACTCATTGCCCAAGTACTGGTATTTTTTTTTGTAGCTGTACAAGATAGGATGATATGACCTAACCAGTGTTATGTAGGTTGAGATTGTGAGACTTACTGGATAGATCTGGATCTGACTTCTGAGTTTCTTCTAGAGTTAAGGATTAGTAGTGACTATGGCTAATGATGTGGGATAAGCACGGTCATCAGTAGGAAGCACTTGAGAATTTCCTCATTCCTTAGTGGATTAGGCTTTGAACTAAAATCCAGTAAAGTGATAGAAGTCCAAGAGATCACAATTCATTTTCTTTAGAAAACACTGATTTTTGTGGCCAGTGCCAGCAACAGCATGCCTGGATTAGCAGTCACTTCAGCTCTGTTGCTTTTGCTTTTCCTTGTCTTCCTCCTGCTTGACCCTGGGGACAATCTTGATGTATGTCCCAGCTTGCAATTCCACTGCTAGAACAATAGAGCTATAATAGAAACATTTCTCTTGGCTTCTTTCTTTTTTCAAGATCCAATCATTTTGCTTTACCACTTTTGCTTCTCCTGTCTCCTTAGAGTTTTGTACCTGGGCTCCTATCTATATGCAAAACGAATGTTGAGAACTTTAATGCACCATCTGTCTCTGTTTATATCCAGTGACATCCCAGACACAGGGATTGTACTGAAGAGTCCTCTAGTCTGAGTACACAAATAAGAAAGGATATAGCAAATTCTCGATATTTTTAAAAATGGTTTCAGCAGGATTCTTCACAACTAACCTAATCATTGCCAGTACTGTAGTAGCTGTCTACAATTTTTCTTTCCCTCCAGTTTCAACAGGCTTTGTGTATTATTTCCACAAAAGCTCTTGCAATCAGCAAGTTCACTGTCAAGTGTGGCTACAAGTTGAAGTGAGCCAGTGGTCTGCTTCTAGGTTAGGGATATCATACCACTAACTTACAGGCTGTTCTTTCTGTGTACATATACCATGCACATCACTTTCCACCCTGAAAAGCCATACCCAGATAAAAAACCACCCCCAAATCCACAAAAACATTTACTTCCTTTTTCAGAGGTGAAATACAGAAAGAGCATTTTTGCCACTTGAAAGCCAACCTCATATCTTTTTTATGCCACTGCACTCACCAGTTTTATCAAGGAGAAATATGGTTCAGTCTTGGGAATGATTTTCCCTTTAAGTTTTATCTATTTATTCATATGTCTTGTTCTTCCAAAACTGACTGTTCCATGAAATTCCAAGCTACTCTTCTACTGGAACTGTGTAGACTGTATCAAAGAAAGTACAATTCACAGAAGTGCCTCCGCAGCATATTAAGAACTGCACAGCTCCCTAAGAGCAATTTAAAATGAAGAACAACCTTTCCCAACATCCTTTCAGAACTTCACATGGACATTAGCCAGATACAAGACTGAACTGCAGAGGGTGCATTATACTCCCCATCTGCTCTTCACAGTGCTCATCACTGATTTCTAACCCACAGTAAAGTCATTTGGCCAAAAAAAAAATCATAGTGGATGAGACAAGTATACCAGAAGCCAGCTGAGCCTTTCTTGCCACAGTGTCCACAGAAGGAAGTGTGCCTGATCTAGCCAGCATTTTCTCACTATTTGGTTCCAGAGCATGTGATATTTGTAGGTAAGTCATGCTCCAAGTAAACTAGAGAAGCGAGATTTTATTGTCATTTACACTACCTTATAGTCATTATCTCAGTTGGTCTTGGCACAGCAATTAATTCACTGTCATGTACATGATGTCAGAGTATCCCTGAGAGACCTTGAAAACTTGGAAGAGTTCTCAAAAGACACCTGCAAGTTTCCACTTCCCAGGGCACCTCTTTTCTAACCCACTCCCTCGCTGTGCCCAGCTCCCAGCTGTGCTGCCACTATCAGACCCTTTGCAGACGGTTTGCCCCGAAGGAGCCTGCATTTCCCACGGGTCGTTCTGCCCTGGGGAATACGGACTTCACACGGACTCTTAGGAAAAAGATTAGCCCCGAGGATGTATGCTATGGGACGGCCGTGGGACGGTAAGACCCAGGCGTTGGGGCGGGTTTGCCACGATGCCCGGTGACCTCCACCCTCTAACGCCAGTGAGGCGAAGGGTTCGCCTCCCTTCCAGGTGAGTGCAGCGCCTCTCCCAGGCTCGCACACAGAGGGCTCGCAGGGCGGGCGGGACGACCCCCTGTCCCCAGCCCTCAGCCCCTGACATAGAGGAGGGGACCGTCCGTGCGGGGAGATGCGGCAGCGACTGCCCTCCTGCGCCGCGGCCCCGCAGCAGAGAGAGGCAGCGGGCGGGGGGCGGTGGGGCCGGGCGGGGGGCGGGCCGGGGGTGGTGCCGCCCCGGCGGCCGCGCGGGACGGACGGCAGCGGGAGCCGGGAACGGAGCCGGAGTCAGCCCGAGCCGGGCAGGAGGAGCCGCACTGGGAGCCGGGCGTGGTGAGCGCAGAGCGGAGAGCGGTGAGCGGAGCTGCCCCGGCCCCAGCCGGGCGGCTGCGGGCAGGAAGGTTCCGCGCTTGCTGGTTGCGCCTGAGGCGGAGCATCCCGGCGGGGTCAGCCGTCTCCCTTTGCCAAGGGAGGTGGGCACTCCGGGCTTGGGGTGTTTTTTCTCCCCCCTGCCCTAGTACCCCGTGCGCGTTGTTCGTGCTCTCGGCGGGCAGGGCTGCCTAGCGGCAGGGCGCTGTTGCTCGCACGTCCCGCAGCGCCGGGGCTGCTCCTCCCGCTGTCCGGCACCGGCTGAGGCGGGTCCCGGTGGGCTTGGGAAGCCGCCGTGAGCTCGGGAGCAGCGCCCGCCGTGCCTCGCCGGTGCTGCTGCTCCGAGAGAGCCTTCTCAGCGGTTTGCCTGTCCTGTGCCGTAACCAAGGGCATTTGATTTTCACAAGCGTTTAACTGAGGTACGTGTTAGGCCTGTGTTTGATCGTTCGCAAACGTGTTTTGTAAAGAACCTATTTCTAGCCTAGCTCACTTCGTAGGTTGTCAAAGTGCTTGAACTGAATGAACTCTTCTTGGGTTCGGAGAAATCGCTTTTGTTGGAGGCAGAAAGGGGAACGCACTGAGAGAGCGTGGGGACAGCGTGGGGGTTGCGCTGGTTCTGGAAGGAGGGATGCGGAGAGAAGGGAGGCACAGGCTGGTTTCCATTGCTGAAAGATGCTGCAGACCAGGGGTGTGATAGTGCAGAGCATTGGGTCATCACTGTGCGAGCACATTCTTTGCTCTGTGGGCATAAGCATAGATTGCCATCCGTGTGCTCTTTCACATTGTTTGCGGGAAGATGACGGGAAAAGAATTGCTCCCTCTGCAAATAAATTGTAACATGCCTATCCAACGTATTGAAAGAAGAGCCGAGCTTAGACAGCACAGCAGTAGAAAAAGAAAACAGGATGGGTGCATAAAAATGTGCCTTTTCCAAACACTTTATATCCAGCTAAAAGCTGCAGGCTGTTACAACATCATCTTGGTAGAGGTAATAAAGTTTGGAGCAGAAAGCAAACTCTTCCTACCCTTGCAAATGCTAAACAGTTGGAGGAAAATTGTGAAAATAGTGGTAAAGGGCTGAGCATGTGCCATGTTGATTAACATTTATATAAGCAAAGACAGTTAGGAATACATATTGACTATCATTTAATTCTTAGTTAATTATAGTAGAATAGGAGAAAAGTGGAGACGTACAAAATCTGGACCCTACAGGATGTATATCATACTGGCAGTTTTATTCTGATAAGGGGTCCGGATGGAGGGTCAATACCTGTTTCCTTGTGATTTTGCTTTTTACAGTCATTTTGAACCCACTATGACTTTTCTGTGCCTGAACAGACTGAAACGAAAGGCAACCTGAAACCACCAGCTGCTTTCTTTCTGTAATACCTAATCCCCTTTAGGGACTGTTGCTGGTTGTAGCTGTATACTGGCTGCCTTCCTTCCCCACCTCTTCCTCAGACTAGGTCATCCATGTTACCCAAGGTGAGGGAAGGAAAAGCAGGCATATGTCACCCCTGCCTCCTTCATGTTTCCCCAGCTTTCCTCTGCTCTGGTGCACAGGCTTGCCTGCGTGCTGACTGCTACTTGCTGTATCTAGTAAGTGTGCTTCGCTGTCAACAGGATAAATGCTGTAGGACCTTGAACTGGTGGGGAAGGGGTCCTGGGCTATTTCAGCATTGAAGTCTAATCTAGTATTATCACCATATAGATGACTGTATGTATATGCAGTTATTGGCATTGGCATTTTGTTAACCTGTTCAAATGTAAAAGGCTGAACTGGGATAGCTCATGTCTGGCAAGTGTCTTTGTTCATAGTTGGGTCTTACTGGTGCAGTGCAAATAAGCTTATCCTGTAAATTCCTCATTAGAGGCAGGAAGCAACACAGTTTTTCCTCCTGGCACCCTATCTGTGTAGAAGAAGAAGAGGAATTATCTTAACAACAGAGTACACTCAGAAGTTGCTGAAAAATCTAATGTTTCTGATAGGTTTGAGACTTGGAATTTAAAAAATCCATTACTAAAAATTCGATATATTTTCACCTCTACCTCCTCCACTCTTTTGCAAGCATTCCTCCCCCTGTGTCTTCATGACTGCGGTTACCTCCTTTTCCTGGCTTGCGCAGAGGAAGTCCTGTTACGACATAGCCGATCCATGGCGCTGCTGCAAAGCCCACCTCTTAGCCTGCCACTTCGTCTTCATCTCCCTTCTTTGTCAGTCCTTCTGCTGCTCCCCCTTCTCCCCTGCATCGGACATGTCAGTCACAGGCTTCACTTTCAGGTGTCCCCATTCGTGATGTACCACCTCTCAGGCTTTACCAAGACATACCCCCTGGGCTTTGATCAGCCTGTGCTCTCTGTCTCCCTCAAGCCATCATCTTTGTGTTTCCCTGAGCTCCACCTTGCACTTACTTGTAGTTTCATGCAGGCATCTTGTCCATCATTTATTTAATTTCTTTGAAATGTCCCAGCACATTCCCTTTTGCTGTGATGCCTTCAGCAGCTGCCTGGTGAGATGCTTAAGACAAGCCCTCACCACTGCTGCCACCATCCTTGTCACTGGAATTATTCTGGCTCTGGATTTGAGCACAACATTGTCCTCTAAAGCTAGGACATCTGAGAGGCACTTGTCGAACAGATCACTCCATCTAGTACTAGCAGAAAGTCTCCTTTCATAGTCCACATTATCCTTGCTCTTTTTTGGCATTTCAGGTGCAACCCTGTCCCCTTATGCTTACAGTGTGGTTCAATGCAAGTCCCTTTGCAATAGTGTTGTATCCTTGCCCAAGTTATTGCAGATTGTATTGCAAACAGTGACTATATGTAAATATTAGGCACACAAACACAGATAGGATAATGCCATGGTCAATGCTTTGTCAAGGGAGGGCGTGCATGCAGCATGCATTGATAAAATAATGAATGTCGCAGGGATAGAGATCTTTATTGTATCAGTGAGGGGAAACAGAGAATCAAAGGAGAAGGTTATTTTCTTACTTTTCTCGGTAAAGTACACTGAGCCACTGGAGTGTGGAGGCAGAGTTACAGTGAATGAAGTTACTGTGATAGCACATCTGTGTCTAAAATTCCCTTGCATTTAAGTTCACAGTATGTAGTTGGTACTACAATCTGCCTTTTTTGCAGAGAAAAAAAATATCTGAAACAAAATGATGCATTAAGAGAGATTCCTTTTGAACCAAGTGTACAAAATTCTGTCCTAGTTTATACTGTGTCAGGATTTCTAAGCTAAAGTGAAATCTGCTTGACATTTTTGGGTTTGATATGTACTATACCCTTTTTTTTTTTTTTAATAAAATACATTAAAGCCACTATGTCAGCTGAATTTTACAATAGGAAAGTGTTTTCTTATTAATCAGGATTCCACTTTCTGGGTCACAGTTCATTAGTTAAGGACTAATAAGCCTATTAACTAGCAAAGGTAAAGGCCACTTATTGTTCAGCAGAGCCCCTTGCTGAAGTCTGCACAGAGGTCTCCTGAGATGGGAGTGGATGTGCCCACATGAGTATGAGAGATGCAGGCTCTCAGGTACACTCATGTTGTGCAGCCACCTCATCTGGCATCGGTCAGGTTGCTGTGCTGCAGCACTGAAAGAGACAACAGAGGCCTTAAATCCATTCAATTCCAGATTTAGCCACATTTTGTCCTAAAACTGTATTCCTTGTACATGAAGGGGACTATACCTGATATTTCTGAGGGTTTTTTCCCCTCTTTACCTGGAGGGATGCTGAATCTGAGGGACTGAGCCCTGCAAGTTGTTAGCCTCACATGTGAGGGTGATGAAAAATGAAAGCAAGCTCTGATAATAAGGACTGCTTGCCCTGGGGCTTGATGTTTTATCTGGTAGGTTTTGCTCTGAGTAAAGGGTGTGGAGGACCTGAAGCACTGCCCCAAGAGAAATCTGTGTGGCTTCCAGAAGGGCAAACACAGTACACAGCCCTCCACTGCACTGGCCCTTTGGCCCCAATTGTGGAGCCCAGCACCAGTCTGTTTGTGTCAAATATAAAAGGTGGTTATCAGCAGCCCATGTTAAGAGTCGGGCATAACGTAGAAAAGTTTAATTACTTTTTGTTTGTTCTGAGATTATTTACATCATCATTCCTCTACCCTCACCCCTAAACCCCCTCTCCCCAACTGGATGACACCTTCTCCTAAAAGGCTTATCAGTGTCAGTGGGATGCTCCGCACAGCCACTTGTGGCCTTGGCAAGGAGGGGTAGCAGGAATGGGATGGCTCAACCATGAAAGGAGACAATAAAGCAGGAACAGTTGAAATAGTTTCATATACGTGTTCTGCTGAGGAAAATGGATTTTAATGGAATTTTCATTTCTCATTAAGCAGCCATTCCACACTACACTAAATTTTCTATTCAAACAAAACTTCCAAATCTGGGGTTGCAAGAAATCAAATAAGAAGTCATTATACAAAATGCAGAAATTAAGGATTCCTGATACCCGCTGGTTTCTCCCTCTTTCTTGTCTAGCCTTGCCCTGGACCTCCTTTCCAGATGGGCACCTGGGGTCTCTTACTCTGATAGTGACAACTTAGCAGCTGTGTTTGATGGTAGAAGTCAATTATCAAGATTTAAAGCTATTAGGGGCAACCAAATGGCTCTGTGAACCTTCATGTCCCCTCTATCTGATCACCCACTGTCATTAAACTTTAGAAACTCAAAGGTTTTTGAGATTTCTGACTGGGTTGAATTTTGCTGAGAGTGTCAGTAACAAAAGTTATTCAGAGTGCCAATGAAGGGAATAAAGCTGGGGCTGGACATCAGGAAATCTGACCCATCACTATCGTCAGTCAGGAGTAGACTGTTGAGTTTTGGGTGATTTTTTTTTTTTTTCAGCAGCCTGTAATTTTTCACCAGAAATTTTCAATGAAAGTGGGAAAAAAATATGTTTAGCACATCAGCACAAGGAGGAGACTAATTTCCCTGGCGACTGTATGTCTTTTGGGGTGAGATTCAAATTGATCCTCCCATGGGAGGCAGGATCAGAAGGACCCCCTTTCTCTATCTAAGGTCCCAGATGTACAGCAGTGAGATTCCTTACCCATTCACATCCTGAGAGATACAGGAAACAGGATACCCTGCTTCTCCATATCTTGATGTCAATGAGAATGAATACACTGTTTGGGCCAAATCCTTCTGTGGGCTAGTGCTGCAGCTGAGACAGTGAAAACAGCTGTGAAGGGCATTAAAGTAGTGCAAGAAGGATGAAGGACTGTGGGATACAACTGTGTATGCTGAGGGGTCTTCTGAAGATAAGCTTCTTGATGTTCTGATCTGTTCTTCAAAGGTAATCAAACTGGTCCAGATATTTATTCTTCAAAGGTAATCAAAAGCTCAGACCTCCCCTTCTCACTGAGTACACTTGCCATTTGAATAAGATGCCTTCATTTAAGGAGCCTTGAGGATGCCTTGTGTTTCGCACTTCATCTCTGGCTTGTTCAATAAGTTCAAGACTTGGTGGGTTCTGTTTCCTTCGCCTCACCAGCTGTTGGGGTGAATGAAGGACCAAATGGGCAAAAGCAGTGCTCTGTGTATCTGGGGGTAGAGAGACAAAAGAAAGCTGGAAAAGAAGCAAAATCATTTATACTTGTCTTGTTTGAAGATACAGTCCCTGTTGCAGAGATTCACGAATCTTTTCTCCAAGAGAGCTGTTCTGAAAGACGTCAAGGGAAGGGAAGGGAAAGGGTGCCTGCTATCAGCAGACAAAACTGAAGGACATAGTATAGAGCTCTTTGTTATGTGAGGCATATTTGCTAGAGAAAAGGTATATGGGGCTCATGTACCCCCTCTCCATCCTAGTACCACCACCTGCTTCAGCCTACCTGCTTCTGGGCAAGGTGGCATGGTGCATGCCCTCACATCCAGAGGATGTCCTGGGTCCATACCTGGGAGAGTTGACATTGGTGTTCATCTGCAGCCTCCTACCTCTCCTTCTGCACAGCGAGATGGTCAGGAAGCTGTCTGACTTCCTCTGGGTAGAACATTACTATAGTCAATGTTATCAAAACATTTGGATTTCAACAGTACTGACTTTTAACAGCTGCATGAGATAATTTTCTATATTGAACTTGGAGAGGCTTAAACCATAAGTGATTCAGTGACTGAAGGGATAAAAGCAATACAACAATGCATTAACATCCATCCCCAGAGATCTGCTTCTCTAAAGCAGTTGAACCAAATGTGCTGAAAAGGTAGAGCTCTGAGATGTACAATGATTGTGAAAGTGTCTTTTCTCTCCCAGAGGGGAGGATCTTTCTGAAAGTAGCCCTACTTTTGCTTTAATCTGCATTTTCTGGGATTGCTTCTTCATATACAAGATATTTAATTTACTTAAGTAAAAACAGTTCAGGGTCTACATTTTAATTCTAGATATTGAATGCATGTAGCCCACACAATTCTTCTAATTATCCTTGTGCATATTTAGTATTTAATTTGGGGATTTCAGGTATGTGAACTTAAACTGCAGATGAAATAAAGAGAATAAATAAATAATAGTGTGTCATCTGAATGAGCTGATTCTTGGCAGGAATTTTTAGAGGATAATATGAAATGAATTGGAGTGCAGATACAGTGCTCCGTTGCTTAGAAAGGTGCCAGGGGACAGATGTCTGTCTCGGTCCTAGACATACTGCAAAATAATAGGAGAAAGGTGTTATCAAAGAATGGCTGTAAAGCAGAGTTCAAGATCATGGTTTTTATATTGCACATGCAGTGCTGTAACTGGGCAGCCGAAGAATGTCACCAGCAGGAATAAAACACAAGCCAGGATTCCAGTTGGTTTGGGTTTTTTTCTGAAATTTCTGGCACTAAGAGCAGTTTTTTATTACTAATGTAGTTATTAATAAGCTTTGATTACTAAAGCTTCGATTTGCTTTTTTATAGGTGCTTTTCTCACGATGCAGTCCCTTTAGAGTTGGCCGTGATAATCAACCTGTGCATTGGTCATTTGGCTTGTATCCCTATATCTTCTTCCTGCTTGTAAGTATTTTATTCATTTTCCTTGCTCATTTTTCTGTTACTTTTAAAGACCAGATTCAACTGGCAGGTTCTGGGTCTGTTCTGAGGTCATGGTGTCTTTGCTTTACATTAATATAAATGACTCTATAGTCTGCAGATCCATGGGAAATGTAAATTATTGAATCATCTGAGCCTATCTGAATTAATTTAAGTATCCTTATGGCTCTGAGAGTTTCCTTTTCCCATCCCCACACAAAACCCCAAACAAAATATAACTTGATTTTAACCCTCAGCCAAGCCATCTGGGCACTTGTCCTCTTAGATTTTCAAAGAGATACATTTAAATCATATTAAATCATAATAAAAAAAATGAAATTAGATCATAAATTAAAAGGAAAACTTTGCTTGTGGCAGGAAATAGTTTTTTTCTTTTCCTGCTGTGCTCTATTTTATTGAGTCAGTTGCCAGCTGATCCTGTTTGCTAGACAGAGTGGTAAAGGGATTCACTGCTCCTGGAGGGTCCAATTGTAATAGGAAAAAAAAGCATCCTACTTACTTCAGGTCTTTTAATTGCCAAAGGCATTTATGCAAGAATAAGAAGTATTAAGGATCATATTCTTGGTAAACTCCAAGTGAGCAGTCATCCTTTGCCTTTCCTACCTACATTTTCGATGGAATAAGATGTTGCATACTTCTTTTTTTCTTTCTAGAGCTACCATCTTATTTAGTCAAATGATGTTAAATTGCTGTATTTTTTCGGGCTAAAGTAAATTGCCTTTCAAGGCTGAAGTGTTCATGCCACCTAAAGTCCATTCAGCCCTTCAATATGTGCAAATATATTTTTATTGGCATTAAATGCTTTGTGTTACAAGTTAGCTGGAAAGACAACAATGGTATTATAGTTTTATGTGCTAAAGGAAGTAAATGTAGAAAACAAATGCAGTGGTGAGGGGGAAGATGAAACCAGAAGCTCACTGGCCTAGTAAAAACTTGCTGCCAGCTTTTGGAAGCAGTCACTACAGTAACAGAACTTGGGGAGGAGGAGAGGGGTTGCAACACACCTTTAGGGATGAAGTGGTCTCGTCCTGGAGCTGGCATCACCATATTGCCTGGGAAGCTCCTGCTCTTCCTGCCCTGATGCTGAACAAAGGAGATGTGGTTATGGTTTCAGACCACGAGAGAATGATATTATTATCTGCTCACTTCTGGCTTTAACTTTACAAAAGGGCAAAATGGAGCAGAGAACACACTTGAGAGTTCTTTAATAGAAATAATCAGTGTCACTTTTAATGAATGTCCTCTGCCTCCCCTCTCCTACCCAAAACAAAGAGCTGTTTGCCTCATACAGAGGAAGCAATTTTTGCACAGGCCCAGAGTACCATCCTGCAACCCATCCCCCTTTCCTAGCCATTTTCTAGCCAGATTTCCAGTGCCATCTAGGATCTGCTAACCACCAGATCATCCCCATCATGGGCAGGTCCCAAATCGTCCATAGTGGGTGCATTATTCTACTAGTGTGATACTACTACTTTGACCTTCATCTCTATGTCACCTGAGAAACACATGTGTGCTAGCATGGGGATTAGATTCACAGGATGGCAGGGAGTACAAAACAATGAAACTTGGTGGCCAGAGGCTCCCTCTGTGAGCATCCAGAGACATCTGACAAGGGCAAATTTCTTCAGCTGTTCTGCATGGGTCAGTGAGGGATTCCCTGTCCTGCTTCACAGAGCCCTCTCTTTTGAAGATTAAATCTATCCATTTTGTTGCCCTCCTCCTTTGGCTTTCTGTATACACTAGGCTGAAATCAGCCAACGGGATTTTAAAATTTTAGGGGAGGAAGGCAGGTACAATTAACAGCGTATTGAAGTTTATCCAAATGAGGGACCCCACTGTTGTAACTGCTAAAGACAAATTAAGCTTTCATCTGTTAGGTGTTGTTTACGATAAGGGCTTTCTAGAATACCTTCTACCTGTACAGTAAGAGTTCATGGGAGACTGTGACAAAAATGTTGGTTTGTTTTGCATAAATAAACTTGCTTTGATTTCAGTCTGTCTCTCTGCTTAAAAATTTTGAAGCCTCTGAAACAGCCAAGGTATTTCTCAGGTTGTAGTCACAAAAATACAGGAAGAACCAAGAAAACAAAGTGCTTTTCTATGGCTGATAAACTCCCAAGAAATTCAATCTACCAGACTTATCTTTGCTTCCTGTTCCTCAATTTTTAGGGTTTCAGTGGTTGTGAGTATGCTCCATTAAATAATATGTCACTGAGCCTGAAGAGATAGAGTTGTTCCATCAAGATAAGTGGAGGTGTGCAATACAGATGTCTGGATGGTAAAGCATTTATGGCATTGGGACTGTAAAAAAGCTCAGTTTGCTGCATGCCATCCTAGGGAGTGTTGCAGTCTCATTTGACATTCATCTTAGTTTGAACAGGGAGATGACTACTGTCTCAGCGATGCTAAAGATTAAATTACATATGTTACCTATAATTTGGCACTCAGGGCATATGCTAATTGTGAGGCCTCTGCTCCTGACCACATTTGCATTTTCTGACAAAATAGTTTCTATGACCAGTACTGTCAAATATGCAAATAGTGAACAGCTCTGGCATAGCTACCCAGGCATGGTACTGCACAGTACCTGGGACTGACCACTTACATAATGATGCCTTGCTTGATCCCTCACCTACCCAGTTGGCCCTCCTTCTGATGAATGCCTCTTTACCTATCTTCCACTTACCACAGGATAAAAGAAAATATTAAAACCTCCAACTGAGCCTGCCTGTAGTATCTGCCAGGTAGGCCAACCCTTGGAATATGAGTGGTTGTCCTCAGCTGAGACAGATGATTTGTACCAAGCACATGAATGGAGAAACAATGCATAGCTTGAAGAAAATACTTAAATAATGGTTCTGGTTGAAAAGCCAGGATGTAAAAATGACACCATGTGTCTAAGAGAGCCTCTCCTTGTGTGCCAACCCTCATATTTGCGGGCTAAAGTAACAGAACAAGGTTTTGCTCTCTTGTACATCTAAAACCAACAGAGGATCGAGGTAGACTCTTTGACTTGAAACAGTGAGTTGTTTAACTGAAATGGGTGAATCTTCTAAGCAGTTTGTCCATCAGAGCAGCAAGGCTGTATAATAATGGAGTAATAGCACCAGGAAAAATCAGCCAGTGTCAGAAAGGTACTTGGATCTTTCAGCAGTGGGGCAGGACTCAATGACTCAGGAAGTCTCCTCAAGTCACAGAACCCTACCCTGGCATTGCAGAAGTGCCTCTGACAAAGTAATCCAGATGCAGACTACACCACAAAATTTGAGTCCCCCACAGGCAGGTCCCAGTTCTCCTGTCCCAGGAGTTTTCAGGAGTTAGCTGGAAAGTCTTCTCCTGTCAAATAGAGTCAGAATTCTTCTTCATCTGCAGTCACTCAGGAACAACACTTTCAATTAATTATTTGCCTTAAACCAACTCAGCTTTCCAACAATAGATAAAGGAAAGGCAGGGACCGCTACAGAAACTGAAAACTTTGGCTCTTTTGTTAAATTCCTTGATCAGTTTGTGGCTCTCACAAAGACAATGGGTTTATTGCAGTTAGCCAGTTTTGCCATTATGCTTTGAAGTCAGTGACAAATCTTTCAGACGTTTTTCTGGGACTAGGTTTGGGCGAAATGCTATGATGTTGTTCTGTTTCACTTTCTGAAGTGCAAAAAAACCAATAACCAAACATGAAGTTAAAGCTGTCATCTGGCTTTATGGGGGCTATTCCTTTGGGAGAACTGGGGTAAGAGAGACAAATGGTTATGCCACTTACCACCATCTCCCAGCAGAAGTAGGAACCTCAGTCGAAGTGGTAGATGTGTTGTACTGTACCAGAGCCAAAAGTGTTAATGGTAAAAGTAGAATGTAGTAGGTTTAAAATTTGTGAAAAATTTAAAGACTTTTAACTTCTGCCATGTTAAAGAATTCATGTGAATTAATTCCTTAAGTTATTATGGAGCAATTCAATTAATAATGGATCTGCTTTTCATTATGACGAGTAAGTAAGGATAAATATCTCCTATATCAAAGCTTATTTTTTAAAAAGGATAAATTAGCTATAACACACTTAACTACTTCCAGAACATGAAATGAACTCATATTGTTCCATTAGTTAATTTTGGATCACTAAATTAAAGACAAGTTCAAAAGGAGTATAATCTCATAAGGATCTCTCTCTGTTCAGTCTGTTATGAGTTATTTCACAAGGTACAAAAATACTGTTTCCTGTGGGGCTAAATACTATTAAGATTATAAAATTGTTTTGGTTTAGTATATTTTATGCATCAGTATGAGCTGTATACCACAAGGGTAAGAATATTTTTTTCTGGTATTTTTAGGTGCAGTTCTGTACTCCTGAATGCCTTGTAGGCTACTGGGATGCTTAAGACTACCAAAACCTCCACTATAAAACAATTAAAACAATAAACAATAAAATAACATCTGGAATGTAACCTTTTGTCCATAAAGGCATTATGGATGTGTGTGTACTAGTAAATTAATCCAGCCCAGGGCATAGGCTCCTGTTGAATTAGCAAACTGACCTTCTGGCATGGTTTTGGCCAGCTAGCACCCTTCAAGCAACGCCTGGACATATTTGGGGTTAGGATTGGCCATCTTTCATTCCCAAAGTCAGCTGTGATTTGGCCATCCTGTCCCTGCAGATAAAAGGGAGTTTAGCAATCTTGATGCAGCATGCCACATAAGTTGTCCCCAAGAACAGAAAATAACCTTGAACTGTTTCATGTAGTAGTACAGGTGAGTTCAGAGTTCTGGAAAATAATATAAGCATTTAAAAATGTACAATTAAATTCTACTTACCACTTAATGTAGTATTTGTTTACTCAGGTTACTTAGGGCTTTTAATGGCATTTAGCATAACCTAAATTTAATTTACAGTGCCAAAGTACAGTAGGTAACTATGCAAATAACTTCAGTGTCTGGAAAGTAAACTTCTGGCAATTTTAAATACCTTATACTTTTTAAGCATCCTTAGTTCAGGGTCTTTTATGGTCACACCTGATGTCAAAAAGTGTCAGCCTCTTGAAGAAAGAGGTACTTGAAGAAAATTAGAAAAAGTTTCACGTTTAAAGGAAAAATTATAAGGCAGGTCATTGCTGGGAACACTAGTGGGGCCCTCCCATGGAAACACAGATAGATACCTGGGAGAAGGAGAGACTCCAGACAGTCACATCATCAGTTCAAGCCTCTGATTCTGTCTCTCTGACTGATGCTGATGGTGTTTGTGCTCTCTATCACTATGAAAATCAGTGGAATTTTCCTCAAAGCTTCTAACTGTGAGTTAGAGATAATTGTATTGACCTGGGATCACAGGACTTGGCTGAAAGCATGGTCAGGATGAGAGGAGCCACACTGGGAAGGTAGTTCTGTATGGACATTGTTTTCCTTGTGGGAGGAAAGCTTGCTGACTTTCCTTGCGGTGCCTGGGTATCTGCACTGAGAGGCTGACCATGAATGGATGGATGGCAAGACGTGGATGATTATATGGAGAGAATGATCTTAATTTCCTTCCTGTGTACAACTTGCATTATCTGTTTTGTACCCAGACAAAAGCAAGGGTTATGCCATGTAATTCAGCTACAGCATGTCAGTTTTTTACAAGCAATTCCCCATCACCAAGTCTTCTCTTATGCTCCCAGCCTGCACCAGGGGACTGACCAGGTTTGTCTAAATGAAAGTATCCTAGCATTTCCTTATCTGCTTATCCTGTGCTACTCTGACCTTTGCCAGCGCTGGAACTTCCAGGTTCTGACAAACGGCTGGAAGCAAAGCTTTTTCAAAGGTGGGATCTCTTCCCAGTTAGTGTTTGCTGCAATTGAATAGTCACCTCATGCTTGCTAAGCTGACAGGGCAGCCTATTCCCTTGGGATTTTGATTGTAGGTATCAGAAGCTGCATCACTTCACTGAAACCTGCCTGCCATTGAGATCTGCCATGGCAGAATTACAGCAAGATGCATTTTGATACTTGAAATTATTCAAACCATTTTAAAAATATATAGTAAAAAAGCAAGTCTGGCAGATTTTCTCATTCTGCGTACCTCTGGCAAGCCACTATGGAGTAAGTGGCTAATGGATTCATCATCCATCTAGGTTGAGAAGCTGAAGTCTTGAGAAGGAGTTTCGTTCCTTGACTAAATTTTTTCCATAAGATGAATTTGGATTCCGGTATCTCTGTCCCATATAAAGCACATTTTTGATTGTGCCTTTCATTTAAACAACTCATGATGGAGAAGAGTCAATTTTAATTCATTGGGATTCAGTAGGATTTTTCCTAGACTCTGCATTTTGGAAAATTGAGATACGTAGATAGTTGCTAGCTAATTGTTTAAGAATTGCAGCTTTGTGCTAAGGAATAATAACTTGTAACTCTTAAGAGTTAAATTGTATCAGGTGCACATTATCTGCTAGTGTATTAATCTTGCCTCTTTTTTTTTCCCTTGCAGTTCCAAAGGATATAATCTTAAATTGTCCTGGCTTCAGCAGTAAAGGATAAATTTGTTCACTGGCTGACTTGTCATCTCACCTTTGTGATGGAAAAATGCTTGCTTAAAATAAACCCTTTTTATTCTACTAAAACCTTTGAATACAAGATCTGTTGTGATTTTTAAAACACAAACACAGTAATGTCAGAACCTGACCCTTCATCTGGATTTTTAGGAAACATGGAAAATGGGACTTTTCTGGAGCTGTATCCCACATCCCTTTCAACTTCTGTGGATTCATCACCTGGCCGTTTATCCAATATCTATGTCTATGTTTCTATATTCCTTAGTCTCTTAGCTTTTCTCCTTTTGCTATTGATCATTGCACTTCAGAGGCTGAAAAACATAATTTCTTCCAGTTCCTCCTACCCCGAATACAATAGTGATGCTGGAAGTTCGTTCACTAATTTAGAGGTTTGCAGTATTTCTTCCCAGCGCTCTGCTCTCTCAAACCTTTCTTCATGAAACTAAATGAAAGGTAATACATGCGGAATGGAAGAGCTCTGTCTAGTTTCTTGGGGAGGTAGTGCATGCAACATTTGCCTTAGAAGACTATTATGAAGAGGAGGTTTTTAAAGTTTCCTTATTTTTTTTTTTCCATTTCCTTTTCTAGTCTTCATTTGCCCTCTAACTAATTTTCATTTTGGACAATGAATAATGATACCTGATCATCATTTCTTGCCTGTAATAGCAATGCTGTGTCTTTCTCACACATATATGGTGTTCATTAAGAGTATTCCTGTCAAATTGTAACACAGTTTTAACTGGATGTGTCATTTTTCTGCCCTAGTTGTGACCCCTTCCTTGGTTTTATGTCAGTAATATGCTGACTAATTTTCTTTCTCATTTTTTAATTATATAAGGACTTCTGAATGAAATCCCTATTGCAAAAGTATATGAAAAATCTGATTAAATTATAAATATTATAAAAATTTAAAGCTGATGGTTTTGTTTTTAATTTTCATGTCTTTTTTGTATTTATTGATGTTTATAAAACACAACTAAAATCCATTTCTTGAAGATTATTGCCTTTGTTTATTTGTACTCCCAACTTGTTCTGTATAAAGTCTGTATTTCAGTTTTTGAGTCTCTGGTTAACTTAGTAAAGCGACTTTAATAACAATACTCACTATCAAATGTGTGGAGGTATTTTTGGACTCTGTTGCATCTCATTTGCTTAATGACTTTTTCCTCCAGGGGGCAGCTTTTGCTGCTGAATCATAAATACCACTCGACTCCTTTGCATTCTTCAGTGATACTATAGCTTATTCTTACTGGATACTAGGACAAATCAGTGGTTTCTTTTTAAAGACCTGCATTCAACAAATACAGTTTGCAAGGAAATAGCTCCTAAACTGTCCTTTAGGAACAAGATGTTTGTACTTATGTGAGCAGGGCCAGCAGGGACAGAAATCCCTTGTACTGGTGAAGAGTTTCTGGGCCAAGTTTTGTCCTTTGGTTTCACAAATGCACACTAGGGTGGAGTGGGGACTCGAAGATCTGCATTATGGCCAGGCAAACCTGTGCCCTGACCCTTAGAGCTGTACCTGCAGAGGGTAGGAAGAGATGGGAGAGAAATGGTTGATGTTTCATCAATCTCACTCCTTTTTGCCATGTCATAGTCTGGGTTATGATTCCCCCAGCACATCACTCAATTTCTGCAGTGAAATAACTAGAAGCTTTGTGAACAGGATCCTTTGGTCATCTGGGCTTTAAATCAAGCCAAACATTCAAAGTAGTGATTTGGAATGCCAAGTGTGACCTGCTAAGACTGCAGCCCCATACTGCAGTGTGATGCCTTGTTGCCTTACTGCACAGTGAGAGCACAGCCCCATCCTGCCACTCAAGCCCATGCAAATTTTGCACTCATGGCAGGATCCAAGCCACTGGAGAGACCTGAGGAAGGGTATGGGTGATGTTGCTGCTGTTTCTGTTGCTGACATAACAGCAGGCACAGCTCTGGGTGATGAGTTGGTCTGGACAGGAACACAGGGCAGCTGCCTTCCCCTTGCATGACAAGCCTACTGCCCATCAGGCTGAGGGGTTAGTGAGCTGCAGAAGACCTCTCAACCTCCTGCCAAGCTTGTTCGTCAACAAGACAGACTGTCATTAACTACACAGGCTTTAAAAGAGAAATTTGGAAAGCTTGGTGTAAATATAATTATTAGAAATGCAGCTTCTCAGTGCCAAACAACAACAGATGACTCTGAAGTTGGTGTTTTCAATTTTCAAAAGTGAGTATCGAGTATGGTAAATGATAATGATTTACTGTGGTGATTAACTCTTTACAGAAGTCAAAGAATTTGCTGACTAATAAAAAATTTAACCCTTCAAGTTCCCTGAGCCAAACTGGTTTGATGAATATATTTATTGCTTGGAATATTTTATTCATCCAGACAAAAGTTTCTTGTATGTCACTTTTCACTGTAACTGATGATAGGCTTTGAGAAAAGAGGTGACTATTAAGAGGGATTAGGAAACATTATTTCCTTTCTGAAAGCTCTTCCAAATCCCAAACCTGTAGCAGAATGTATTTGTGTGTTGACTGGCAGATAAAAAAAAATGAACTGTAAATCAAGACAGGGCAATTGTTCAACTGCTTTCTCTTACTGACAAAGTTGTAAATTTGTTGCTTCCTCTGCTACAAATGCAGGAATTTAATCAAAACCAGAGATGAGACAAGAGGTTGAGATGGGTATTTGTTCCCAGCAATGTGTTTATGATTGCAGATATAGAGACATTTAATACTAAAATATAGACTGTTGAAACCCCATTGGCTTTGTTCAATTGGCTGTTGTCAAACTTCACAAGACCAAAAAGTATTTTTCAGACTGCAGAAAGTAGCAATGATAACTGAAAGCACATTTGATTTTGCTTTGTAGTTTACTAGATGCTGTTAATTTTTTCCCACTCTGCAGTGACATATGGGATTGTGTAGTCATCATGATTTCAGCTTTGTACCTGTTCTGGACAGATTTGAGTAGAAACAAGTAGGATCCAACAAAATAGCGTCAGGAGAAGCCACAGGCAAAAAGCATCATGGCATTTTTGAGGATTGCTAAGTACCAGTTCTTCAAGAAAAAAAAAAAAAAAAAGGAAAGAAAAAACAGATCAATCTGAGAACCTCAGCATGAGTTAACTTGAAAACAATGGAACAGGATTCCTAGACAGGTGTTTGATACTCCCAGCCTGTCAGTGTATAAGAGGCGCTTGGACAATGCTTTTAACATGTTCTAACTGTTGGTCAACCCTGGAGTAGTCAGGTAGTTGGACTAGATGGTCACTTTAGGTCCCTTCCAAGGAAAAATATTCTATTCTATTCTATTCTATTCTATTCTATTCTATTCTATTCTATTCTATTCTATTCTATTCTATTCTATTCTATTCTATTCTATTCTATTCTATTCTCGCAGGAATTTTTTTTCCCTGTGTCGATTCCTTCATCCCTCAGTAGAAGAGAGATGTGGAGATACTGCAGTGGCCAGCACTTGGCTACTAAGATGATTAAGGGATGGAGTATCTCTCATGTGAGAAGAGGCTGAGAGATCTGGGATGTTTGGTCTAGAGAAGATTCAGAAGAATCTCATCAATACGTATAAATACCTCATGAGAGAGAGGAAGAAGAGGGAGCCAGGGTCTTCCTGGTGATGCCCAACGACAGGACAAGAGTCAATGGGACCAAACAAACACAGGAAATTCCACCTGATCACAAGAAAATATTTTACTATGAGGGTAGTCAAACACTGGCACAGGCTGCCCAGAGGGGCTGTGGCATCTGCATGTGTTGAGCTCCCTGCAGCTGACCCTGCTTTGGGCAAGAGGGCTGGACCAGATAATCCTCAGAGATGCCCTATCTATGCTATGATCCTGTGGATCACATCATTGCAAAAACTCAGTGGCTTCTGGCTTGCTGCCTCCTTCTGATGTGTTTTCTCATCCCTGGAGCTGAGTAGGAGATGATTTGTTCAATTCAATAAGCTGCTCTGCTCCCCCTTCTGCCTGCAGCCACATATTTTTCCAGCTTTTCCACTGCCTTTTTGTGGTGTGGGGTTTTTTTTCAATTTTGACATTTAACAGTCAACTCTTGCCCTGAGCCCTTTTTGGTTTTACTGAGCCCTCTGACTCCCAGCAGTGCCATTAGCTTTGGTAATATTTGACTCCAAGACTGCATCAGGTAGTTGCAAAGTATACTTGGAAATCTATAGGAAGAAAAATATGGATAAAGCATGGATGAGGAAAGTTCAAAAAATACGGTCCATTTAAGCATATTTAATCAAAGAGTACTTGGTGAAGGCAGTAGCAGGCTCTATATTTAAGACTTTCTTGTACTGCTGGCCACCTTGGCCCTGCTTGTGAAACTAACCCATCATGTTAGTTTGTCCTCAACATTATCAAATTATTCCCATCCTGAAACATGTCATGCTCTTAGTGCCTTTTAGCAACTCTTCAACTGTCAAGAGTTTATTCCACTGGAATTATTTTCGCTGTTCATCCCTCTTTGTCTGCCAGCTCACCTGAAAGGTTTCTCTCCGTAAGCTGAAAGTCTTGTCTGGATTTCCTATAAATATCTTTTAACTTGGAAATAATTCTTATTCCCCCTCTGTGCAGCTTGTTTGCCCTGCTCTCACTGTCTAACCCCGTGGTACTCTGGCAAGGTCAAATTCCCATGGAGCATCATGCTGTGCCATATTTGAGCTTTTTTCCTTCAGAGTCTTTTCTTTTTTTTTTTTTTTTTTTTTTTTTTTTTTTTTGTGAGAGCACTGGGAATGACATCTGCGTGGGAAGGTTATTTATGAGGTCCATATACCTCCCATTTTTCTTGATGAGACTGTTTTCACTGCATCTGTTATGCTTGTCTAAGGAAACATAGTGAATCACAGCCCAGCTGCTTCCCCAGCTGAATGACCTTTTCACATCCACTGCCCTTTGTAGGCTTCCGAAGACAACGGCCCCACTCTGTGGCTACAGTAGAGGATTACATGCCCCAAATGCAGGGTGCAAAAGTAGACTGAAAACACCCTTTTCTTTCTCCAAGAAAAGTGGGCTTGCTCTTGCCTTTGTCTTTGGCTTAGCCTAGAGCAGCCCTCAAGTTGCTTTACACTAAATGATCAGTGTGATGCCAGTCAGTTTGATGTGCCAGTGGGACCCACCTGCAGCCACAGCCCCACGCTCACACCACAAGTCCTCAAAGCTCCTAGGTCACTCACAATTCCCATAAATGAGGTGGCTAAAACCTCATTTTAGATGCTGCCCCAGTCTGGGGCCTGACTAGGGACACTTTCCTGATGCCAGCTGTTTCCACAGCTCCTCCCAGCACTGTGCTTTGGAAATAAAAGCAGCATCAACCTCCTGTGTATTTACTTCCAAGGCCAGGTAGGTGCATTAGCGTAATCATAGTAATCACCATGCAGGTGACAGTGAGGCACGACCAGGATGATGAGCTATTTTTCGCTTCTGTTTTCTTTGTTTTATACCAATGGGAGCTGATTACCCGCTGTAAGTCTGAAAATCACAGTAGGTGGCTATCAACATACATAGGATCTCCAGTTGCCTTCAGAAAATTGGACTGGGCTTCTTTGAATGGTTTCAGTTCACCTTCTGTTCCTTATGGAAAGCAGCAACACAATGGCTGCATTTGTTTCAGTGCCAAAAGATGCGGCTTTAATACAATAAACATCTGTGAGCAGCTTCAGTTAAAAGTTCAGAAGGAAAAAAAGTATACTCCTTTAATGTATAATCTAATGTATACCTCTTTACAAAAAAAAACAAAAACAAAACCAAAAACAAAAACCAACCCTTGGAAAGTTTTCTTTGGAAAATTACATTTTTGCCAAAATATAAATTTTTAAAGAATAATGGAAAAACTATTTGGTTGAGTTGTTAAAAATGGAACATTTTATTCCAGCTGTGCTAACATAAATGTTTTTGCCCACAGATTTTTCACTGTTTAAGGTGACTTAAAATTACTCTATCCAATTATTTCTCTGCCTTATCCTCAAGATACAGATAGGTGTCTGTCAGAGCGTTTTTGCCACACATATTACTTATGAAGTTGCACTCCTAATACTGCATGCTGATTTGGTCATATAGACAAGATCCTAAAATACAGCTACATCTCTCTGTTTATTTGTTTCTCATAAAGTATTATTAGTTAAATATAAGATGGAGACAGCTGTTAGTTAACAAATTCTGCCCTCATTGCACTTTCAGCACAGGGATCAGTTTGTCATTTGTCTTAGAATATTAGTTACAGCCCATAGATCATTTGCATGGCTTTATCTTGAGCCTGGGCTCAGCAGTTGCTGAGAAGTAAGAAATAAGTGCAAAGGGCATATTTATCTTGGAGATTCCCCATGTGGTTTGTTCAGAGCAAATCCTGCTCTGGCTCACTGGATGCTGTTCCAGCACTTGGAGCTGTGTGCTGGGAGCTTTCTGCCAAGGGACCCCCCCTTTTTCCAAACAGCTTCATCAGAATGCAGAAGATGAAACTTATTAAACTAGGACAAGCTGCAAACACCTGCCAGGAAAAAGGAATGATGATACAAAGGCACCCAGCAAGAACAGAAGCATGGCAGAGAGCAAAAGGAGATGCCACTTGAAAAGTATGCAAATGAATGTGTCTGAAGCAGGAGTAAAGTGAAGAAGGACCACTGGTGGCTAGAGAAACAGGTGGTAGCAGTGACAGAAAAGCATCTTCTGGTGAGAGGGGGTGGTGAATTGGACACAAATAGGCAATACTGCAGCAAAAAGGTAAGGGAGGCTACCATTCCCCATTACGCACATTGTCCCTTTTTCTCCTGCCACAGGACAGGTAATGGCAGGGGAAAAGCAAGATTAGTTATCTGGGCAAGTAACACATGGGAAAGCCCCCCCCTCAACCCCGTCACACACTCCCTTCCTGCTGCAGCTCTGGCTGTTGCTGCTCTGCTCCTGAATCCTTTGCCTCTGGCAAAGCATTTTCTGCTCAGGCCGTATGAGAGCCCTGCTTCTTCCATTGCTGTAGTGCTCCTTTTGCTGTCTCTTTGCATCTGAAGCCTCCAAAGGGTTGCTCAAGAAACTGCACTCCATCTGGGATATCATAGAAAGGCTCTCCCTGGTTGTCATGATGCATCTCTGCATAGCCTGGGCTCCTGGGCAGGAGCCAGAGCAGCCGCCCCAGGGCACCCCACTAACACTACCCTGGGTCTGCAGCCCCTCCTCAGCCCAAGTCACAGGCAAGGCAGGGGGCAGCTGTGACTAGTGGCACAGGGAACCTGGCACACGAGCATAGCAGCAAGCAGCAACCTTTACAGGGAAGTTTGGCTTCACCAAACACAGACAACACTAATGGTGTGGCCCAACAGGTCTCCTCATCTAGAGGCACTGAGTTGGGGTTTCCTGTCCTGCCACCTGTCAGTGCCCCAGCTCTCATGCTATGTAGCACGCTTCAGCACACACGGAACTAAGTACTCCTCAAAAACTGTTCCTTACATGTCCAGAGAGGTCTTTTCAATGAGAAATACCTCTATTCTCCTAGTAATTTTGCATGTTATTGTAACATTGTTGGAAACCCCAAAGGCCTATGCCTAATCTCTATAGTGAGAAGTCTGAAGAATGAGTAACAGATATTTTCAGTATTTGCTTTAAAACAGTAGCTGCTTCATGGTTTTCAGTTTCCATTCATGCTTTAAGAGGTTAGTTTTATTCAGAAATTAACTCCTGAGCAAACATGTCACTGTATCTCTACAGGAATAATTTTTCTTTATTGATTTTTCTACATTTGAGAAGCTTGCAAATACACTATTTTAAATTACAGCCCTATGTTATATTCCCAAAGAAATGTCCAACTTTGCCATTTCAGCCATTAATACGAAAACAAGTGCTTGTAGGGAAAAAGGGTAATCCCAATGTCTGATCCCAACAGTGGGTTAAAGGCTGGGTTAGATTTGCCAGACTATTTTGTTAGACCCAGGTGTTTCAAATTTCATGGTGTTTGTTGTAAGAAAGGGCCAGCCTTGCTGATACCAAGCAAAGGGCAAGTCTGTGCTTTGCAGCAGTTGTGGTGAGATCCTGTGGTCGCATCCTCACCCAGAACGGGTATCCAGTACACAGGTTCCCTGCTGCACTGCTGCATTCCCCCACATTGTCTGGTGTTCCATGGGCTGGTCAGACCTGGCTGCCGCAGAAATGCACTAGAAGGATCCTAGCTTGGGCAAGTCCACACCACATGTGTTTGATGGGCTCTGTGACTCCCGTAACCCTCTAAATAAGCTCCTCACAGTGCCATAGGTGCGTTAAAAAAGAGCAAAGCCAGTGAAGTGTCCCTTTATACACACAACAAGCGAAACACCCTCTGATATTTCTCATGACTGTACCTGTACCACACCCCTGTCAGCCCAGCTGCAGTCTTTGAGTGCTTTTCTGTGGTTGTCGCCATGTAGGGTCAAATGTTACTGACTAGAAGACTCTGCCATCCTCTTACTTATGTATTTTTTCATCTAGGATGCAGAGATTTTTTCTGGTTTCCATATCATAAAATCTGCAATCTACTATTGCAGGTAGATAAAAATGTTAATTAACTGATGGACACTTTAGCTGTCCTCAATAGCTCAAGCTACGTGTATGTTTTTAAAGGCACCCCACAGCTGTATGTAATCTAATCAAGCAAAAACACTTCCAGAAAAAATATTATATAGGTAAATAGTTTTAGAAATTTAGAAACATTTAGAAATGTAGAAACGTTTAAAACACATTGTAGCTCATTTTGAAGGTAAATAAGATTGGACTGACAGGGTTGTAATTACTTAGATCTGCTGAGAATTCAGAACAAGGCAAGCTGTTCGACCAAAGGCGCTTCCTAGTGTCTAACTCATCAGTATTCATTAAGTGGAAACCTAGGCTGCTGCAATGAAGAAGAATATGAGATACAGTAACTTGAACTTTGGCAAGATCAAAAGCAATTAGTTAGGTACTAGAATCAGAGTGCTTCAGTTGAAGGGGAAGAGAAAGCAGAAAAAAATTAGCTCTGCATGATTTTGCATTACAGAAAATGATTATAATTTTGTAATAAGAGGGTGGTTGCAGAGAGAAAGTGAAAAAAAACCAGCAAGACAGAGTGGCCTGTGCTCAGTTGGGGTGCTCCTAGCTTCTGTCATCTGGACTTGTTCAAAGTGGTTATCAAAAACTGCAAAGCTCCACTGTTGCTCCCTCACATGCCCTGGTCTGTCTGAGTAGTTGTCGTTCTATAGTAACCCAATAGATGGTCTTCTGGGGTGGTCTTTGGTTTTCTTCCCCAAAGACACATCCCAGTAGAGGAAAAAGTGACAAGCAAAAAGCAAGGGCGTTTTAATGAGAATAGAACTGGATATATAAATAAATAGATGTACAAATAAATAAATAGAGAACAAGAAAAAGGGGTTGGAAATTATGCTTAGATAGAGAGGCAGAAGAGGTGCAAATTCAGTTCAATTCTATCTCAAAAAACTGGTTGCAGACAGAGAAGAGGGAAAAAAAAAAGAAAAAAATTTTTCTTTGAGGCAAACCACCCCCAGTTACTTCCTATTTACAACTAGAAACCCGCCATGCAAAATAGATAAGTGGAAGGGTAATTAGGAAAACGGATATGATTAAATGTTTGGGGAGCATGGTGTCTTCTCTGCCCCTGTGTTCAGCTGCTGCAGGAAATGTGCCAGAGATAATGGAGAAACAGAGCCATCTCTGCAGACAAGAAATAGCAGGCAGGTGGACTCTCCCTTCAGTAACACTGGGATCCAGGAACTCTGAGTGGGATTTGAGCAAGCAGGATCTGTTTCTCATCTGTTTCCACTTACATCCCTTCCAGACACCCTCAGGGACTGGACTGGCATCTTCAGGAGCCCACGGCCAGCGGGTGCCATCCACTGCTTCCCCCTCTCCTCAGAAGCCAGGATGCTGCAGGAGCTGCTGTGAGGCAGTGTGACTCCTGGAAACATCTGCATAGTGACCAGCTATAAATGCCTTAGGACAGCTTCATGGTCACCTAAAGTAGTTATCTGGCCTCTCTCTTGCCTGGAAAAAAAAAGGGGGTTATATTTTTCTTTTTCCGTTTTGTTGTTGCTTGCTTTAAAGCTAAGGCATAAAAAAGTGACTTGGAAAAACATACCTCATTTGTGTCTGAAGATACTGACTTCTGTTAAACTGGAATTGTCTGCTACTATGAGGATTGTGGCATAGTGAAGAAAGAAATAAAAGGAGAATGAGAGCAAGGCAGAGTACAGAAGTGAGGGACCAATTTTGCCCTACATAATTCCCAAGGATCACAGGATTTGCAGTTGTTTTAGTCTATTCTTTTTTTTTTTTTTTTTTTTTTCAAAATTAAAACTGTAAAGAAATTATGCTAGAAGGAACCCAACTATTCCCCCCAACCCTCACCAGAGCTGTGTTACTCCACATGGTTGGGTCTGCACAGGTGGGTGCAGGGTGACAGACAGTGCCTGGTGTAGGGCCCACAGCTTGTGTTGGTGTAGTGTTATCCCAGCCTAAAATTTGTATAACCTCTAGAACAGACCTCCTCTTGTTCACCTAGCTCAGAGCATCAGCAGAAAAAGTTCATAGCTGTCCATATCCATCCCTGCAGACACATGCTTTCAATTCTTTCTATTGTGTTGGTATATATATCAGCCATTAAATTATAGGCACATATTATAGAAACTATGGAAACATTATCCCTGGAGATACTCAAGACTCATCTGGGGAAGCCTCTGGACAGTCTGCTCTGGCTTTGAAGTGTCCTTATACTGAGCAGGGAATTGGGCTAACTGAGCTCTCTATATCTCCCTTCTAATTTAATGTTTCTAGAATTCCATGATATGAGTTAATCTGAGACCAACACTGAATAAGGAGAGAAGAAATTAATGTAGAAGTTGAAACTTGTCCACGGCTATAGGTTGTAACACTTAGTATCTACATTTCCACTTAGTAAGGTCTAGTTCAGTGTAAATCATAATATGAATCCCACTACGATTTAAGCAGTTTCTATGGTTATCCTTAATATTCTTATTATATTTTGAAGTCCCAGTGAAAGCAGAACCTGTGGTAGTTCATACACTTCTTCTGGGACAAAATGAGGAAAGTGATGGTTCCAAGGCTGTGAAGGAGACCACCACTATTCCTGTAACCCTGAACATCATTGGCCTTAAAGTCAATCCAAGCCCTCAGTACAGAAGTGGATTTTTCCTGTGCCAGCACTCTGGTTCCTGAGCGGGACACCAACTCAGCCTGCCATATGCTACCAATTTGTCTGTTCCCTGATCCAAAAGATATTTTGCAGGAGTATTAATGCACCAGTTTGTGTCTTTGCATACTGCAGCTGAGAGAGGCTGGAAAAGAGTAACACTACAAGCATGACGCTCACTGCCAAAATAATTTGAATTAAATAAACACCATTATTAGTTGAAATGTCTTATTACAACATTTTTGAAACAAGGATTGTTATCAGACTGTTTTGAACTATACTTGAAAGTGACTCAAAAATATCTTCTTTAGAAAGAAGTATCCAAAGGATTGCTATGAAAATTAAATGAAACAATCTTTTTTAAGCTAAAAGTAGATTTTAGTAAATTTTTTTGTTCAAAAACAGGGTCAACTTTTTGTGAAGAAAATTTACTTCAGATAGACCTGTGATGAATTTTTTCAAGTATTTAATTCATCCAGGAAAAAAAAAAGAAAAGGAAAAGTCAGTTATTAATAAAACCTTGATCTAATTTTCTTTTATGACTTGATCCTAATGCATGGTTGCACATAGACCTTCTGTTGACCTCCATGGAAGTTGTGCATATAAAGGGAATGCAGAACCAGACTCAGCAGACAAAATTAGTGGTTTTCTAATTCCTCTAATTGGTGTTTAATTTTTCCGCAGCTTGGAGACCAAGTTACTGGCTCTTAATGGGAAAAAGAAATGTATGCTGGAATGTAATCAGATAAGAAAAATAGTTAACATCATATTAGCGCTCCAGAAACAGAGCAATTGGTAAATGCGAATGTTTTCATTTGAATTACAAATGCCACCGATTGCCATTTCCGTTGCCACTTCAACTAATTTGTATTCAGAAAACCACATCCCTGAAAATGTGTAAAACATCTGCTTTGAGAAACTAAGTGTCAATAACTAAACTGTGTGCATCACCATACAGAGACCTTGGAGCAGTAAAGAGGAAGACTGGATCATCTGCATTAAGGACAATGATTTGTGAATTGTCCACAGGATGGATCTAATCACATTCTCTATTAATTCAGCCTACGGGGACAAGGGGGGAAAGAAGTGACTCAAAACAGCAGCAATGACACAAAGAAAGTATGTTGGGGTTTTTCAAATGAAATATGACAGTGACTTCAGCTGAGTCCCCTTGTATGTAGGTACTTCAGGAACCTTTTTTTTCCCTATTTTCTTTGTTTTTTCCTAGATTCTTTGTTTTTCCTGAAATTACGGCTTGTCCTATGTATGTGGCACTTTATGCTAAGCAATATTAAACCCTGTGATGCAGTAATTAGGTATGACTTGACCCCACTAATTTATTGAGCCTAGAAAGCCTCTGCAATAAAAACTGCAGTGAAACAGTTGGGCAACATGACAGAAGTAATACATGTCTATCAACTCTCACACATACCTTTATCAAGGCCCTTTACTGAGTATTACTGGCTTTGTTTAGCATGCAACACAAGCCTTCTTCTGATAATCAGTAACATCTTCTTTAGATCAAAAGAACAAATACTTCTTGCCAGCAACTCTACTCATCCTGCCTGTCTGTAGCAAATTTTAAGTGGAGATGTTGTCTAATAAAGACCACATTCCTCTCACCTGGATATCACTATACAGCACCTCATTTAGGGTTTGGATTTCTATCAACAATGAATCATAGAATCACGGAATCATAGAATGTTAAGGGGTTGGAATGGATTAGTTTAAAGACCATCTGTTCCCAAGCCCCCCTGCCATGGGCAGGGACACCTCCCACTAGACCAGGTTGCTCAAGGCTTTATCCAACCTGGCTTTGAAGTCTGCCAGTGCTGGGGCATCCACAACCTCCCTGGTGAGTGTCCAGTTTCAATGCCTCACCCCCTTCACAGTAAAAAAAAATCTTCCTAATATCTAGCCTAAGTTTCCCCTCTTTCAGTTTATACCCATTATTCCTTGTCCTATCACTACAGTTCCTGATGAAGAGTTCCTCTCCAGCTTCCCTGTAGGTCCCTTTCACATACTGGAAGGTTGCTATGAGGTCTCCACGCAACGTCCCCTCCTCCAGGTTGAACAGCCCCAGCTTTCTCAACCCAGTTCTCCAAGCATCTCCTGAGTCCTGGTAAACTCAGTGAGTCTACCTGATGAGCACATAATGGGAAAAGTCTCTACAGTTAAATAGAGAAATGCTGCAAATGATATTTCAGGCTGTCTGTCTGCCAGGTAAGATAAAAATCAATTAGTTTCATTTATTAAAGGTGGTGCTGTCACATTTATAAGCCCTTTATGAAAAATGTGCTTATTGCTACTACATACTCTACCATCATTTACTGGGACTATTTAATTTCCTTAGTTCTACAGTAATTTGTATTGAAGATAGATAGATAGATAGATAGATAGATAGATAGATAGATAGATAGATAGATAGATAGATAGATAGATAGATATCCCAGGGTGAGTACTGCAAATATATATGGCCTGAGTATATACAAGGCCCCTTTCCTATATACATGCACCAAGAAGGATGACAGCCAGGAGAAGGAATTGCTAGGCAAATGCAGCTCAGGATTTGAGCTCCATGATGGATGTACTGATTTGCTCTATCAAATGCCCCAGAGGCACTCAAGACCATGTTGAATGGGGCTTGCTCTGAGCAATCTGGTCTAGTGGAAAGTGTCCCTGCCCATGGCAGGGAAGTTGGAGCTGCATGATCTTTAAGATCCCTTCCAAACCAAACCATTTTATGATCCTATGATTAAAATCAGCACATGGAGGTTTGCACAATACAGTAAACACAGATGTGCTGTTTCAATCTCTAGGCCTTATAACTTGCACAAACCTGAAAAATTTTCACGGAAAACCCAAAAAGACTATCCAAAATTCATGACTCAGTGCATGAAAACAAACAAACAAACAAACTTAGTAAAAATGGAACTTTGGAAAATTAATGCATTTTTTTCTCTTCCCATTTTCTTTTCCTCTTGAAAGCCTGGGGAAAAAAAAACATCTCAGTTGGACACTCAACAAGGTATTCTTAGTCTAAAGAAATATAATCTGGCTATACAGCAGAAAGTACAAATATGATTTTTCAATGAAAAACATTATTATTTATATTAATAATAATAGAGTGTTATATTATATGCATTTTTATAGAAATTTTACATTATAATCCTAATAAATTACAGTATGATAAAATTATTAACAGCTCATAGATAAGGAATTAGAATATGTTTTTGATAAAGTAACACTTGAGAAAGCAATAGTCTTCGGTCCCCGAAAGAATTAAACTTTTTGAGGTTTTTCTTGGCCACAACTGTACTACAAGGACTAAAAGAACTCTGTCAGTGTTTTGTACATAATTTCATTGCCCATAATCTGGAAGTAAAAATCTGAGTCATTTATATCTCTGGGCTAAAATCCAATGAAGGAATTGTTAAGTGAATTGCTAGTAGTCAGGCTTCATGGGGTGGGATTACCTCTGAGAGAATCCTCTCTTTCTCACTGGTGTTATTTTATAATATGCGTTCTGAAAATATTATTTTCTAAGTTATTTCAGATAATTTCTATTTTGTTTTCATAACCCACCCCTTCTGAATAGTTATACCTCTTCACCGATGCATCCTGGTTTTCTGGAAGTCCCCAGAGATTTGTAGGTTTACAGGGTTGAAATACAAAATTTTAATTAACGAGTCTTCCTTATAATTTCAGGATTCTTTTTCTTCCATGCAAAATCCAGTAGTACAGTCTGGATTAAAAACAGTAAAGACACAATTTCAGTGCAGGTTTTTAGTCTTGCTAAGGCTATGATTTCACAAAGCCATGGACCAAAACAAGCCTCCCAGTGATGGCTTTCAGTACATATGTATGAAATACAGATTTGTCTGACATCCTGCAAATGTTTGTTGACAATGCCAAATTAGTTCATTTTATTTTCTCTCACTCTTACATACACATCTATATTTGTGGGCTTGTGTGTATGTCACCAGACTCCTCCATCCTCCCAGTTACTTCTGTCATTCTTCTCTGAATTTTCCAGTCATTTCTAGGAAGATACTCTGCATCCCACTCAGTGTTGCAGTTCCTGTCACCTCACAGGCATGTAGAGCATTTGCTGGATTCCTCACTTTGCAAGGACATGTTTCTGCATAAACAGACCCAAACTGGTCATATATTGTGGTAACCTCAGATTTAATAATTTTTTTAGCTCCAAAGCATCTATCTGAGTCACAAATCAATCAGCATGGATGAAAGCCTGGGCAGAGGTGTATTGCACATGGTATAATCAGAAAACTGAACCCTGTTCCACTCCATTAACCCCAAACCATCCTTTCCCTTAAGATCTTTTCATAAGCTTTTTGCCTCCACTGTGCTCACCTTGTCCCAGTTCAGCTCACCCTTGGGATTTCTTTTAATACTCTGTTTACCCCTCCATTCAGATCATTAAATAAGATGTTAAATAAGCCTGCATGGAGAGCCAGTCTCAGCAGTAAGCCACCAAGCACCAATCCGATACATTAATGTTTATCATTACCCTTTGTTTACAGTTCAGGGTGTTTTTATCCCAGTCAATCTATCAAGACAATTACAGAGTAATATTTCATAAATGACTCACTCTATCTAATGCGTTAATAAAATGTAATTATATTGGTGTAAATTGTCAGAGCTATCAACAGAATTAGGCACGTTATATTCATAGAAGACTCTTCTGCTTTTCTTCTTCCTAATTTGCTTGTTTTAGGTAGAGACATGGCCTAGGAGCAAGAAGAGTGTTTGGGCAGCAAGTGCATGGATCCATGAGATACTCTGGAGCAGGTACAGATGGGAGAGTTACAGACTGCTGCATTGGATGGGAAACGTCTACAGTACTGTCCTCAGTCATTCCCACTTTCCTTCCACAGATGTCTAGGGTTTTCTTTCCTCAGAATTTTCTCTGCAAAATTTGCATAAAGCAGGATGGGAGCTTATCCTCATCCAAATGTAACTGCCATGATTGTTCCTCCCTTCTAGTGAAACTAAACTACATTTGATTTTCTCTTCTTTTTCACAGACAACTTGGAGCACGAGTTGCCTTACTGGGGAGTTTCCTGCACCCCGAGGTCACCACCACCAGCTAACAGGCAGTCTCTGTAAGACCTCTCCTTGAAGTAGGATACAGAGAGTGGAAGTGCTCTTCATAGCTCTTCATCCACTTCTTCCTGGTTCAAACCTTAAACCACTGCTGGAAGTCTCATGCCAGCTGTTCCTTTTCTGCTGTATCTCAACCACTCGTCTTAGTCTGGGCAGCACATCCAGATCCACTTGCGATTAACAGCTCCTCCCAGACAGTATCTCAAATGGCTTAGGCTCTGCAGGAACTGGCAGTGTGGCTGCTCCCAATTAAACCCTACATTTGCTGCGTAAATACCACAGTTCCCATATGACCTGAATACACTGCCTTTTTCACCTTCATATTTTCCAGGAGTCCATGTCTGGTTTAGCAATTAACAGGTCTTTTATTAGATCTCCTTTACTTCCTAAATGCTCTTATTTTTCTTTCTCAGTATGACATAACCTCTTTAGAATCAGATAAAGCTCTTGTGTGAATTTAGTCCCCTCACCAATTTCTGGATGGTTTTCTTTGTGGCAACGTTTTTTTCATTAAAATGTGTTATATTTTTCATTTGTCCTTCAATCATTTCCAACTACATTTCTACTGGCTTTCCTACTTAGATGTTTTCCTTAAAAGTCTTATCTGATTCTCTCTTTTTGTTTTGTTCTGGTTTTGCAGACTTTCTTTGATCTGAGCTCTTCTGTATAGCTCATTGGTCTAGACCTGAAGATGAGGATGATGGGGAAGAAGCAAAATAAAAAGCACTCCTGAGATCTCAGCCTTAAGCATAAAACCAAACACTTGATTAAAGGATGAGTGCCTTCTGGTATGGATTGCTTAGCCATGCTAAGAGATAACATCACTCCTGGCCACTGAATGCAGTTAGCTTGCCACTTAGTGCCATGCAATGGCAGTAGCAGAGCATAGTACACAGGTCCACTTCCATTCAGGGAAAAGCATTTGCTGAAATTGCTGTTAAGCAGCTGAAAGAGACTAAGAGAATCACAAACTCAACTAATCTCAGCCCTTCCAAGGTATTAGACTTCTTTGCTACAGACAGACTTCTGTCCCACCTAAGTCAACAGTGAAAATGAATAATTCAAAACATTTTGTCATCTCAGAGGCATTTGTTTTACCATAAGATGTGAGGTGACCAGTACAGCAGTATTGTGCTCTACTTACCTTGTTTTAAACTCAAAGATTTTGACAGAAGATTACCTAAAGCACGGAATGTCTGACTCACCCTAAAGAAATAGTTAATAGGGCATTAGATATCACAATTTAAGCCTCACTGCATTATTCAGGGAGAAAAAAAACCCTAACACTTTAATTTTATTTAAAGCAGTGTTTTCAAACGTTGCTTGCCACTTCTTAACCTCAGTAATCAACTACAGTATCTTCTGCAATGACTTGCAGAGCTGGCTCTTAAAAGAAATAGAAAATTTTTAATTGAAGCAAACACTATGAAATAGTAATAAAATACAAATCTTCAAAGGATTTTTGGAATTTTTTGAAATACAGCTTGGGTATCAGTGTCAACTTATCAACTTAGAGAAGTGTTTGGCATGAACTACATGAACTGAAAGCCTTTGCCAAAGTATTATTTTTGCTGTCCCTGTTTCCCTGCTCATACATTTCAGAAAGCCACAGTTTTTCATAGCATTGAAGTTCCTTCCTCTGGGATCAGGTTGTGCAGCCACCATTTACTGTCTGCTGAGTCCTTGTATTGGGCAATGGAAATCACTGACTTTCAGGAGTCACAGTTAGACCTCACCATGAGAGGTACTAGAGCAGGGTACCTTTGCAATGTGTTTCAATGGAGGCATCCTTGCCTCAGTTTTTTGTTCACCAGCACTGCTCCTGAAACAGATTTTTGGACTTATTTTGTCATACCTGCAGCCCCAAATGAAATTGCAACAGGTTGTAGGGCAATCCTTGCTCCAAACTGGAGCAATCCTTGCTCCAGTCTGAACACAATGGAAGGGGAAAAAGCTAACAGCTGGTTTTCTTTTTTACAGATAATTGATTGGGTCTTTCAAGTGGGATGTTAAATGTCTTTTCCAAGGTCATACTAGAGGTGTATGGCAAATCTCAGACTGGACCTCATTATCTAGCCACTAGACAGTTGAAAATTATAAGCCTATCCTGCAAAGCAGAGTTCTCCAATGGAAAGATTTCTCTAGTGTTACCATCCACTGCACAAATAATGAAGCAGAGGAAAACAGTTCAGCTCTCATAATTTAAACCAAATAAGGATTACAGAAGTTTATTGATTTGTTAATGACACATAACTCATCTGCAGAACATTCAGGATCAATACTAGTAATACAAGAGATAAATCATGTCTCCTGCAGGCTAAGAAAGGTCCCTTTCACAAGACCCCTTAGCTGCATCCTGAGTGTGGGTTCCTGCTTGTTGCATCCCATCCAGTCATGCCACCTGCTGAGCACACGTTCCACGAGGAATTCCATGGGGATGATGATCTGTTGGATGTAGGTGCTGGCAGGGCAGCTTATGGACATATCAAACCAGGTTTGACTACTTCTGGTTACCCTTCAAGGTGTCTCCCCCATCTCAATTTTCATGCTTCCTTCATAT